CCCAAGTGAAAAACCCTATTTCGGGGCCTTCATTTCCACACGCCACCTTCTCAGTCGCGTGGTCGAGAAATTTTTGCTCCCCCGGTCGTATATCTAAAATAAATATTTTGCAATAATGAAAATTACGCCCCTTCTTCGGCAGTTACACGAATCCTAGTACATTGCATGCAGAAAATCAACCTTTGGCTCTCCCACTCCTCCGAACCGGTTCCAATCCGCACGCGGCATTTGACGAGCGACAAAATGCAGGCGACCAGGAACAGCTTAGCTATAACAAAGACTTAATCTCAGAAAGCCGTTCTCCGAGTTTTGTGAATTAATTAAGCGAATTTCTGGGCATCTATCTCACCACTCGCCGCAGCGCATTCTTGCACCCTCCCTCCCCTCGTCCCTTCACCCGCCGTCCATCTGAAGACGCGTCCAAGATATCGACAGGGATGAGCGAACTCCTGGAGTGAATCGAAGGTATCCCAGCACCTGAAAGGCGATATAAGCAGATTAATAGTAATTCATATCGCGGTCGCAGTGGTTACTCCGAGAAGGGCGAAGAGGAGAGGGGTGAGTTTAGAACTCGGTGGAGGAGGGGGGGCGCATTCCACGTGAAGGTGGTTCATCGGTGGCGCTTAGCACCCTGGTAGCTAGCAGGTAAGAAATAATTTACATAATGAAAAGGTATAAACCCGGGAGCTTTACAAGTGATAATAAATGACGCTAAGAGGGCGCCGACCGGGGAGCGGGGGCGAGGGGGGCGGGAGAGGCCGCGAGAATTTCAGATATGAAATAAGCGACGACGACGAGGCGACCCCCCTTCGACTTTAACTTAAAGCTGTCTGCTTTATTAACGCGAAATCTTGTATGATCCTTTAATACTACAACTCCAGAACTTCGCCGGGACTTTGGACTTTTCGTCGATGTTATTATCAAAAATAGGCGAGCGGGAGCCGAGGGGAGCTTTCACCCCCCGCTCCCCCGGTCGTTCATCTACTGCTGTTTGAATCGTGACAAACTTTCGCGCCCGTAGATATGCTCCAATAGAGTGCCGTCGCTTGGTTTCGTTTCGTTCCTGCCATCAATATTCAGCATAGTCAATTCTATCCTTTTCGAACTGAGATCTTCAATGTATCGCTGCTTCGCTTCCGCATAACTTTCTATTACATTTTCTATAGCGTTTACCATTTCCGGTACCCAAAGCGAAGATGATATGAAGGAGTTGTCTTCCACCATTGGAGCTCGGATGATGAATATAAATTAAAGCGCAGTTCCAGCTGAACTGTAGTTTGAGCAAAGACAGAAAAGAAATTCTCTTTAATTTAGAGCACCGGAAAAAAAAACACTTTTTCTACACTGGAAAAAAAAACACATTGGATCTAGAGTCGAGACTCTTAAAAACATCGACAAGAAAAAATACTCTTGATCCAATCAGATTTAAGCTTTAATCAAGAACCAAGCCTCTTAAGGGCGGATTTCCTTTTTATTTAAAGCTTAAATCTGATTGAATCAAGAGTCCTTTTTCTTGTCAATGTTTTCAAAAGTCTGGACTCTAGATCCAATATGTTTTTTTTTTTTTTTCCCAGTGAGGCTGGGCTGTCGATTCAAGCAAAATTCCGCGTGAATCAAGAGTATGCTTTTCTTGTTGAATTTCTTAAGAGTCTGAACTCTGGATCCATCATATTTTTCCTGAGTGTATGAGCTCGCTCTATTAGATTTTCTCGTGAGGACCCGCGAAGCGGGCCTAACGAGGCGCGAAGCGTCATTTGGGTGTTGGGCCGCGTAGCCCCCTAGTTCATATGTAATATTCGATTTTAAGGTGAATTCAAGCTCCAGTCTACCAAAAACATGCTGCTGTACAGAATATCGAACATGAAATCAGTTGGATAATTCTAATAAATGATTTTCAGCGAAAGATTAATCGTCCAGTTAGGATTGCCGACTCGAAGCTACGGAGACCGAAAAATTTGAACTCGCGGAGCCGAAGCTATTCTTCACAGCGAGCTGACCTGAGCCTCATTCTTGGCTGTGAGTAACCCGCTCAACCATAAATCAGAAATCCGAAATTAATCGAAGCATACCTATCTTGGACACTCCCGCTTATACACACGCAATGGTTGTGCGCGCGGTGAACGGCGAATGGCGAGCGGCTCGCGCGAGGAGGAGAGATGCTCGAGACGGGAAGGAAGGGTCTAGGGTCTCTGGTCCAGAACTTTGATCACTCCCAGGTTGCCTCCTCTCGGAACTGCTTCGAATTAAAACAGCGTCTGCTCATAAGATTTTTTAACGAAAGCTGACGCGTAAAAATTCAAAATCGAATGGGCCTATTGCAAGTTTCACCTTGAGCGAAAAAAAAGGGAAAACAAGCAGGAAGCTCCAACGCATTCGCGTCGGAAAGCGGCTCTGGCGACGGTAGGTAGTTGTTACGCGTTTACGGTTTCCTTGGTAACCTTTACGGCATTCTTCGAAAAAAGCGCGAAAACTTATAGATTTGAATTTTCAAATTTTAAACGTAAAGTACATTTTTTCCAGTGCGAGATTAAAGCACAGACCCGTTTTGAATTATTGACAGTATCACCATGATTCCAAAAATACACTACACAACATAGCATTCGCTCACAGGAAAAAGATATCAATTAAAATAAAATCGGTCCCCCCTAAACAGCAGAAAATGGCGCCGATTCCCATCAACCAACACGCGGTCTCTCCAATGTAACATGGTCCGTTGATACTCCCCAGCTGGGACCGTCCGGAATAGCAGCTCTAGTGCAAGCACCAGAGCCGCTAAAAGTTATTTCCTGAGACAAGAGATCTGCCCCTACTTGTATCTTGGCAATGGTGGAAGCTCTTACTTTCAGGACTTCAGCATTCTACTGTTGACTTGCCTATATGGTTGATGTTGAACAACGTGTTGGCGGTTTCGTTTTGCAAACAAGCCGAAGTTTGAGAAACTTGTTTGGCTCATGACGTCATCCGAAGCTCATCATCCACCATGTAGGTAGGTCAACAGCCGAAATAAGAGTGATGACTGTTCCTCACTCATGATTGTCCATAAGGAGTTGTTGAATCCCCAAAAGTAAAAGCTTCCACCTGTCGCTTAGAGGCCAGTGGAGGGTCCCTTGTCTCTGGTTATTTCTTGTAGAAAATGACTAAAAAATCTCGATGAGCGTATTGGGAATGTCTGAAATACACTTTTAACTTCACAATCTGCGCGAGAAATATGCGTTTTTAAGCGTCCCTAAATAATTCCCTATGATAATCCAAGGAAAATTTTTTTTCAAATGTTTCGTATCGCTATAATGGTTGATTTATTCGACGTGTAACTGCCACCGTGCTTTCCGAGGATATCTCGCCTCTAATTCCAGTGGAAAATTAGCGGTCCAGTTTCGACGAACATTTCCTCGTGTGCTGGGAGAGCACGTTTCGAAAAGAAATCCTGATACGCTGCTTCAACTGAGAGCAGTTTTTTCGGCATTCGGTATACATCGTGTTCTTAAAAAGCAGGTGCTCTTCCCCTTTTTTCTAACAGTTCGTAAAATTTTCTATTTTTCGGACGAAGGTGGCAATAGTGAAGGATCGCCGATCCCCGAAAGGAAAATCACAACCACTTACGAATTCACAAGGAGAGCGGTTGAAAGGCATCGGCGGGCAACTCCCAATTCAGGGACACGGAAATAAATCGTCTATGGTACCACTTGGTAAATAAAAAATCAGGTAAGCGTAGAAAGGGGGAGGGGGGGGTGTGTCTCCGCAGTGGGCGCATGGAATCGGAAGGGAGAGGGATCGATTCCGGCCCCAGGTTTGAGAAAGCTCCAAGGTGGAAAATGCATATCCCTCTATCGCCAGGCGAGACGAGTAA